CATCTTTAATGGGGACTACAGCAAATGAGGATTTATTTAATACCTCTTGTCTCTATGAAGTGACATGCATATTTCTGCACTTTCAAAAAAACAAAGAAAGTGGATTTATATATCAAATCCTGCCTGTTCTGGAGAAAAGGTTAATAATAAACTGGTCTATTTAAAGACAAACTGAAAAGAAATGAATATTGAATCCCCTTTCAGTGTCCCAGTCATCCATATGTAACTATAGTACCAAGGTAGCTAATTCTTAAAACTAGACACAACCACACATTTCATCCTTGCTCAGTACATAAAATTTTTAAACTTGCTGAACAGCAGAGAGGATGTGTGTGGATGCGTAAAATACAGGGTGTTTTATTTTTATTTTTCAGTTATCCTAATGCACAGTTCATTAAGGATTATAAAAGTGAACAAGACAACAAGGAATTTTGAGTTTTAATTATATTACAATGAAATCAATGACTAGAGCTAAGTTTCAAGTGAATACACATAAAAACGTGACCTATCAACTCTTCTAGAAAACAGATTTTTGTTCTTACTCTTAAGTCGCCCTAGTGCTACACAGAAACTTGAAGAAGACAGCATTTACCACTAGTCCAACTGGCTTGTCTTCCTTGAAAAGACAGTAGGCTCAAGGCAGCTAGGTGGCACAATGGATAGAGTACTGGCCCTAGAGTCAGGAGGACCTGAGTTCAAATCTAGTCTCAGACCAGACAGTTGACACTTACTAGCTGTGTGACCCTGGGTAAATCACTTAACCCTAACTGCCTCAAAAAAAAAAAAGTAGGAATCCCTAGAATATGGTATGTAAATATATTTCATGGAGAACATATGATTCTTTACCTAATACCTTTGCTACAATCTCTATCACGGCTTGATATTTGAGAAATATTATTAAAAATTTTGTATTCTTGGTCAAATAAATCCCTCACAATGCCTGGAATATTTCATACTAAAAATTACTGACATTTTACTTGACTAAACGAAATTGTATGAATCTTACTGGATGAAATAGATTTCATGTCTGTCATGGTCACCTCAGCCATCTACATTGCTAATTTACAAATCAAGATTTGTAAATCTTCAAGTGCTACACAGAGAGATACAGACACTTCAGGTATTGTGATCATTATTATTGTTAATAACAATGTTTTTTCCCAGTTCAGTTGCCAGTTGCAAGCTGCTAGCTACAGTCTCCAGTCCAAGCCTAACAACAACCTACTCTTTCTACCTCTCTATTCCTCTCTTCCTCAGCCTCTCTGTGTAATAAGAAAATCTGGTCAGTCTTGGCTCCTTCCCCCAGAGGAAGGGTGGGGTGAAGATGAGTTGACAGAAAGAGACAGAATGACTGACTAATCCACAGGTGTAACCACTAAGCACGAAAAGAACTGTATGGAAGTATATGGACATTTTTATTTTATTTAATTCTGTCTGATATAGGTCAAAGGTCCTTGGGGTATACTACATTGGTGTTATTGGTGTTTTTGTAAAAGACTCCAGCTCCCTTTGTTTACTTCTGAGGGTAAAGCCCAATATTTGGGGGCTACTTCATAGACAGTCTATAGTCTTGGAAGAGATCTCCTGGGTGGAACACATGTGAGGTATGACACATCCCTGAACCATGATAGAAGAGACCCAGACAGGTATGCCACAGGCCAGCATTTTGAGATCGCTAAATTATAACTAGGCTAAACTGCCTTATGCACTGACTTGTATGAGATGTGTCTTCTATAAATCCAGAATCCAACTGGTACACACATAAGCTTAGACCTTGGGACTAGCTCTTAGTTGGGCATAACTATTATTATTTAATATTTTAATGAATCTTAAGGCAGCTGTAAAAATTAAACTTCTGGAAATATAGCTGTAAAGAATAAAATACTTCAGTACTTTGATTTTTCTTGTTTTTAGTTTTATTTAATTTAGATTAGTTTTGGGTTATGAAGCATGTCAGCCCCATTAGACAATTCTCTGTTGTCACTTCATCTCACATTCTGATATCCATTCACAAAACTTGTGTTAAGCAATATGACTTCAGAAGTCTAAAATGCAATCCATAAGGCTGGTCTCTTTTCTGGTGACAAGGTAGTTTGCTTTTTTTTTTAATCCCTTAAAGCTGTTACTTCTTAATTCATGAGAAACATGATTATCTAAAATATCTGCACAAAGAAGAAAATTCATTAGGAGAGTTATAGTTAAGGGGAGTAGAAAACAGCAATACAGAATTATTTTAAATACCCTGTTTCCCTTTTATTGCCCACTTTTGGACCTTCTACATCTGGGCAACCTAGCCATCAAACTCTTAATGACTACATGGAGTTCTACCAAATACCATTCCTAGGATATAGGAAAGCTATTTGAAACCAACTAACAACATCCTATACCTCAGGGTAAAGCTCAAAGTATTTCAAGGGAATGACAAAAAAAATGCAGGCTGCAAAATTTTAATTTATATATAACTGAAATAACCTAGCAATAAAGGAAAAAATAATCTGTTAAATGTTGATGACTCTCTCCTCCTCCTCCTTTAGTATCCTGTTGAAAAGATATCCCCCCCCAAAGTGGAATGTCAAAAAAAAAAACTGAGAAGAAAAAAACCTATCTTTCTCAGCACATCAGATTTCATGAATGTTTTTTAAAATGCCATTAATTTAATGTATGTGGAAAAAAATAATTCTCCTAAAAGAAGATAAAAAGAAGATGAGTTTAAGACTCCAGTTACACTTTCTTTCCAGTTTACCTTCTGTAGCCAAACTAACACATTCTTTCTCCAAACTAGATTATAATTCATGCTCAGAAATACTTCAATACAGCTGCAGGCAATCTCAATGAGCTTTCTATTTGAGGTAGGGTAGGGCCTGCCTGCGAGCGCAGTAACCAGCTACCATCAAAGCAAGGGCCCTGAAATGTCTATGTCAACATTTTGCCCCTTTCCCAAGACTCAACATGCTAATGCATAATCGACCAGTTTGTATTCACATTTCCAATTCAGCTACCTTTCAAATGGGACCTGAAACTTGCTAAATTGTTGTGCTTCTGTCTAAATCCAAATACTAGAGACAAACCTCAATCCAAGATGAGCTCATGATTACTGATGCAGAGAACCAGCCCTCCAATGTTAAACAGCATTTTCAGCTGGAAATACTGGCCTACATACAAAAACCAAATGCTATTTTCCAGAAGATTTATGAAAACATAAAGCTAAAACCACCAACAGGACTTCAAACCAAAATGCTATTTAGGCATATTCTATGCGTGCAATTCCCAACAGGCATTTTTAACATCTCAGGAAAAAAACAAAAAACTGCCACTAGTCAGAGGTTTGTCTTTCAAATTTAAATCAAAAAGAAACATTGACTTTGAGGGAATGATTTCAGTGACCACAATTTTAAATCAGCTTATTGTTCTAAAATTAAGAGTGATTATGTTTAGTCACATGAATTTTGGTTGGCAGGACAGAAAATGCAACAAATAAGAGACGTAGATTTGAGTCTGCTTTGCAAGCATAATTCTATAGTGAAATACAGAACCTCTAGCATTTAGAAATGATACTGAATTTGAGAAACAATTTTAACAACATTTTAAAAAGAAATTCTGCTCCATTATTCTACTAGTTTAACAAATCTCAAAAGAATATCCATACAAAACACTACACAAAGTATTTTTTTAATCTACACTGCAATTTTCTTTTCCTTTGTTTATACTTCATTGAAATATATTAGGGTCTGAAGTACCACTAAAATTCTAAATAAATACATACATACATACATACACAACCACACCCTTACATACCTGCCACCCTTTAATTCAGCTATCCTGCCCACAACTACCACTACTTAACTTAATTTTAAAATGCTCAGTGTTTCTGAGATTGTCTACTCTTCTAAACAGGCAGAAGAGCAAAATAACCACTTCACCCTAATCACAAAAATTCATTTTCAATCATTCCCTCCATGCTCACCCTATGATTATAGTTTTACAAAGCTCCAACAGGCAAGACTGGTTATATCTGTTAACATCATTTCGGATAAGATTCTGGAGTTGCTGATTTCCTGTTTTTGGAAGTTATGGTCCTTTCGCAAGGATCCCTAAGGCAAAATGTTCAGTGTTCCTGGGTAAGCTTAAACACAGCCTTTGTTCTTCACTTTGCTACCTTCATGATTGCTTTCTTCTCTCTTCTCTTCCTCCAAAGCCTTTACTTTTCCATAATAAATTTAAATGCCAACTCAAATCTAAGAATACACTTTTAAGACATTAGAGACTTTTGCATTATCCATGATTGTGACGTTACATGTTGGAAATAGGCATCCTTTGGCAGAGGATGCCAACCCATCCTGTGTTCTTTTGGTATTTCATTATTATCCAGGTTAAAATGTATCCCACAGATAATCCACTAGAACATTCAATCCAATCCATCCCCCCAACACACCCATCACCACTACTAGCACCACCATCAAAATCACTAAAACATTCCTCTACTTGGTTCCACATGAATCCCTTTCAGGATAAGACAATGCTGCAAAGTAAAATAAAGCTGGTCAGTTGAATGAAGAAAATGTATGTCTAAGTCCAAAGTCTATAAATTCTAAAATGATGAACGAGGTGGCCTCCATTTGATGGGCAGTTACCTTTTATGTAACCATATGGAAAATGCTACATGGGTAGGACTGTGGTGCAATGCAAAACAATCCATTTTCCCCACAAGGCCCGTGGTTTCTTACCAGCATTTGCACTTGCCACTTATCAAGGCCTATTTCTTGAAACTGAGTAGCCAGCAAGATGCCTATGTACATGCTATTTAAAATGAAGCCATCCTAAATTAGCTCTGATAACAATGTCATCATAAAGTCATGCTAATCCCATTAAACTTGGATGAGTATTTCTTGTAGAGTCAAACCACAATTTCTTCACCAGTGAACCAATCAGTTGTCAGAGTTAATCTGTGTATGCATGTATCTTCAAATTATTATATTCATGCTCAAAATATCATATCTCACCTTGTGAACCTTGACCTTTTGGAAAGACTGATCAATGCTCAGTTACTGTCACACAGATGCATTACCTCTGCAAATATGAAAGGGTTAAAAGCAGCCCCAGTCAATAGGCCTACAAGAAAAAAAAGACAGTATGTATGCCTTATAGCATCACTGAAATGCATTTATGCTCATTCCTAGAACAATATTGTTACCTTTTGGCCTTCACAACAGTCAGATGTACCCCCCCACATAAACACACACACCCTTTTAAAGCATCTAAGATGAAAAGCACAAGACAGCACACAACCTGCAAAAGAAAACAGCATGCAAAGCAGCATTCTCCAAGTCACAAATAAAACTACAATTACAAAAACATCAGTTCATTTTGGTTTGGTTTTGTTAAAAGAGAGAGAAAGACTGCAAAAACCAAGTGTCCCCACCCTAGCAAAGCACATTTTTTTTCTTTAATAAGGGTCATAAATCTCAGCTCCTTGTCCATCCCTTAAGCAAAAGAAAAAGGCATGAAAAGCCCAAGTAACCTCAGATCCTGCAAACCTGTCCATTTTTTTTCCTCCTCTTCCCTACACAGAATCTTTTAGGACTACATTAGACACATACCAGTGCTGTGTGGTGTCTAAAGTGTGCATTCACATAGTGTGTTGGGATGGTACCTTCCTGCAAGCTCCTCTGCTTTTGGCTGCCATGAAGGGAGGAAGCTGCTATCCCACTGTAGTAGCTCAGTGACTGCATTGTGTTCAGGAGCTGATCTGCCTCAAACCAGTTTCAGCCGGTTCTGGTCACCCTACATAAAAAAGCTATGGCAACCCTCGCTGAGTTGCCAACAAGTCCCTGAAAATCAACAGCGCAGGGGGGATCTCGCTAGGGGTTGCTTTTTCCTTTTTGGTCCTGGTGAGGAAGGGGAAGTCATCGTGTATCCCCCCCCCTCAACACACATGCACAGACCCTTGAAATGCTCACCTTTCCAGCGCCCCTAAAGCCTCTCAGGGCCCCATTCCCCCCCTCCCTTCTACCCGAAGCTCCCAGCACATCCATTTCCCCCTCCTTCCTTTCCCCACTTACCTCCCACAACCTGGCTCAGATCTTTGTATGTGTGTGTATTTCTATGTGTGTATGTGTATCTCTGTGTTGGGAGCTAACAAAGAGCCCCCCAATAAAGAAAAATCTAGAGCTCTGTCCTCACTCTGGATGCGTTTGCTGCACACGACGGCCTTCAACCCCATAGCAGAGAGCTGCGGGCTTGTTGACCAGGTTCTTCTCTGCCTGACACCCCGACTCTACTCCACCCCACCTCCCTGCCTGCCCTCCCCTCTCTCCCAATACTGTCACCACCACCACCACCACCACCCACCACCACCACCACCACATGCCCCACACCCGCCCGCCCGCCCACCCAGCCAGCCAGCCAGCCAGCCAGCCAGCCACCACCCCCCTCCTCTTTCTCCAACCTTCTCCTCCTCTTCTTTCAAGTACCTGGGGAGAAAAAAAGTCCAAATCCCTTCACCCCAGGGAAGAAAGCTGGGGATGTCCATAGGGAGAAGGAAGGATGAAGGGGAAGAAGGGGAGGAGTGGGGGGACAGAGGCCCCTTTAAAATAAACAGTGTAGAGACAGTGCTGGGGGAGGGGAGGAGAAGGAGTGCCCCACTGCTCACGTGGCCCCCTCTCAGAAGCCGTGGGGCCTAGCTCCAGCGGCGCCCTTTTCCAACCCCCCAGGAAAGTGGCAGCAAAGAGGAGAGAAGCTCTCCCCAGAGAAGAGCTTGAAGAGGACAATGCTGTCAGGCCAAGGGGACTAAGAATCGCCCATTGCCACCTCACCCCTGCAGTGGTGGCAGCAGCCAGGGGCAGATGCAAACGCGACCTATGTCCCCCCCCACCCATTCCAGTCTTCTACCCAGAGCCCCCCTCTCCTGGTTCCTTCCTGCCCTCCGACCCTCACCTTTTCAGACACCCACACCTACATATACACACTCACACTCATAGGCGCACACCCACCCCCTTCCCGGTGTTGGCCTTTGCAGCGGTCAAGCCCGGGTGTCTGGGCCGCAGCTCGGATGACCTTTGTTTAGCGCGGCGCCGCCGGCTGCTGCTGTAGCTGTCGTGGCTGCTGCGGCTGCTGCGGCTGCTGCTACGGCGGCGGCGGCGGCGGCAGCGGCGGCGGCAGCTTCCATATTACGGGCGTGTCATCTGCATTCCCGCTGCCTGGGTCTGTGTGTGTGTGTGTGTTGGGGCGGCCTCGCCGCCGCCGCTGTTGCTGCTGCTGCTGCTGTTGTTGCTGCTGCTGCTGCTGCTACTACTACTACCACTGGCTGCGCCGCAGCTTCAGCTCCCCGGGCAGCTGCAACAGGAGCAACCACAGCAGCAGAGGCGCCGGGGCCCGGCCCCACCGCAACATACCCCGGGGCCTGGAAAGTCTGAAGCCCCGGGCCAGGCGGGCTGGCGGGCGCCGGCACTCGGGTCCCCGCCGCGCGCGGCCCTGTGCCTCTCTCCCGGGGAGCCGCGCGCGACGACCCAGGGCAGCTTGGCAGAGTAGGCCGCGCGCGGCGCCGCGAGCCCGGGGCTGAGCAGAAGCTGCGGCCTAGGGAGGGAGGGGAGGGTGCCGCCGTGGCCCCAGCTCGCCCAGGCACGGCCGGAGAGCCGAGCGAACAAAAGAGAGGAAAGGGAGAAGGGGGAGGGGGGGGGGGCTGGGAATGGGGGAAGGGAAGATTGGGGAGGGGGGGTGTTGGTTAGAGAGAAAGGCATGCAATATGCTATTATTCTTATAACTAGCTTAGATTATTACGAATTTTAAAATAAGTCTGACAGACCTGCCAAGTCTCACCCATATGGGGCTGCTGGATTTTAACTCTCGCCCTGGTGATGGTGGTGGTGGTGAGAAAGATGGAGAGAGGATTTTTTTTTGTCCAATGTGTATTTCAATCAGACATTTTAGGATCTGACTCAGTCCTTTAAACGGCCGCAAGCCGCAGCTACTGGAGAGCAAGGCCTTGCTAAAGATGGCTGGAGAATATCTAGAGACTGAGGGTGGGGGGGGGAATCTTAAGGAAAAGAAGGGGTGGTGGCTCTGTTAGCCTTATGATGGTGGCAAATAAAAAAGGGGAGGGGGAAATCTTAAGAGAAATTAATTTCAAGCTTCTCCCTTGAGGATAAAGAAGGGGCCTTTTATTTATAGGTCCAGCTTGAAGCCCTTTTGTCTTTAAACCTACCACAAAAGGAGTAAAGACACCCCAGTGAGGAGAATGAGTTAAAAAGACATGCATTTTGCTGTCTGAGAATAAAAAGAAATTGGGACTTGATTAAACTATGCCAGTTAACGTTTCTTTCGTAGTTTTTTAAAAGTGAAGACTGATATTAAGAAAACTCAGAGGGAAGGGAAAACGATGCAAAAAGCCCAAGTTTTTAAATCCTAGAAGCAAGGGGTTTTTTTAGATGTAACATATATGGTATTTTTAAAGAAAGAGCACACAATAGTCAAACACATATATAATACTGACACGTCTCAATCTTTCCATGTCTTAAAGGTGAGATTACATGGTTTTCTGTTGCAGATTGAGCCTCTTGTTTTATCCATTTGTATGTCATGGTTTTTGAAATGTCCACAATCTTTTTTTTTTTAGGAAACATCATATAAAACTGAAAACCAATTTAAAACACACAGTGCCAATTGAGCAGCCACTGGGAATAGAACAAAATGGGAAAATCTGTAAAAAAAAAATGCCTTTCTCTCCAAGTCTGCTAAGACTTCACTTGGCTCTATCACTACAAATACTGCATCAAACTAGGCTACACCTTTTTTTTTTTAAAAAAAACCTGCTATACCATTTGACTAAACTACAGTGGCAAAGAATATTTCCAGCTGATTCTGTACTGCATGAAATACTTCTGGGTGTTTCCTTTTGTTGGTTTTAAATTAGATTAATTAGTTAATGTCTGCAGAGCATTTGGAGGAAGAAAAGCCCTTGAAAGATGTGTACCTTATATTAACTTCCATTGTTCTTATGTTAAAGATTTAGAATTAAACATAACAGTTTTACTATTTAAAAAAAGCTTTTCATATGAATGAACTAAAATATGATCTCAGAGATATCATTACTCGTTAGTCTAAAATAACAAATTGCTTGTGGTTGCATATAAATTTGATTATATTTGCAGTTTTAGAAAGGTCTATGTAAATGGCAAAATTTTCTCCGGCATACCTCACATTTGCCAGTACCATATGGTAAAATGGAAGATCATCAAAGGCCTGAAAATAATCACTTCCACTCTTGTATGAATTATATTTTCAATTTTACTTGAACTTTGTTCTTTTTTTCTTCTACAGAACATGGATGAGCCCATGGCCCTAATCAGCTACAATATATTTTCTGCAACAGACTACTGGTATGTACTCATGGTATTGTTATATATTCTCTGGAAGTATATGACAAGCATGCCATAATATTTAATAAATGCTATAGCATTTAATAGACTTGGGTTCTGTGGTCAATTTGATAGCATTTCCCCATCCTTTTTCATTGTAGTTTATGTTACAGAACAGCCAAAGGGATTTGAAGGGTTCCAAGATTGTCAGTAGATGGAATGTTTTGCATGGAGTGTCTTCATCTTCAGAATTTCCTGATGGTCTCAAGATGGCAAAGATTGTTTTTGAACAGATCACTTTACGAAAACATTTCAAATCAAGACTTTCTCATAATAGCAGGAGTTTTAGGGAAAATTGGTTTGCAAATGTGCCTGAATTCACAGATAATAGATCCATTATGATAGTCTTCAAAACATATAAATATATCAAACTGGTAATAGAAGATTCAGTTTTCCTACAAATCATCAAAACCTTTTGTTTCTAGAGGGATTTAGATGAACCATTTTGCTAACCATCTTTGTTACTTATAAGACAAATAGACAACTAAAAGCATAAGCTCCAAAATGCTGCATTTCACAGAATTATAAAATTCCAGCGTTGGAAGGATTTTTTTTTTAGTCCGAAGTATAAAATAAAAAATGCTTTACCCAACCAAAAAAAAAATACAAAAACTGCTTGGAAAGATACATTGTATCCAACTGTAACAACAGAGGCCATTACCTGACTGTGCAAGATTGAAACAAATTATTGTTTCCGAGTGTCATGCATAAAGGTCAGAGCAAAGAAATCATGTAACATTAATGCCAAGTAGAAACTACAAGAATTCCAGTTCCTTGGGGATTTTGTTGTTTTGGAATTTTGTTTTGGGGATTTTTTTCCTGTATAAATCAAAAGGGATTTGATTTTTCACCAGACACCTATCAGTGGACCTCAAAATGCCAGCTTTGATTTTTTAAGATGATTTCTCTCTTTTGTAGACCTCATTAGTAAGGCATAGAATAGCCCTCCACATATCTTTCTGTCTTCCACATTCCTCAGTGGAAATAGGAAAACATTCTATAGACAGAGTACATAAGAGGTGACAAATACACTTTCCTAGGTGTATTTGCAGTGTGCAACTCTTCAAACTGAAAGGTCTATGACCTCTAAAGAGATATAGGCTAAATTTATCATTGATTTTTTTGAAGTATTGCTTACTTTGTCCTTTAGTCATGCAGTTTTAGAATTTGTATCCCAGTGGTCATCAAAAAGACCAACCAGATTTTATTTTGGTTTTAGTGATAATAAAAAGATTGCTATGATTATCTGGCTTGGCTAAAATGTAAAATTGAAGGGACTTATAACTAAATAAATACGATAAATCCACTAGAAAGATAGAGAGGATGGATATAATGGTATAGATTTCAATTCTGGTGATCCTAAATGAGCTAACAAAGAAAATCCCTTTGCCTTTCATTAACTACATAAACTGCATAATAAAACATCTCCCATGGTAAGGAGACTTGTAATACAGACACTACTTGGGCAGTCGATTCCTTTAGGTGAAGGATATAAAATTTTGATTCCTTTAAGACTGAAAAACTAATTTTGATGAATTTTGAAGTTTGACATTCAAGCTAAAGCATTAAAAAAATTAGTCTCTTGGACTTTTATGAGATAATTTCCTCAACCTGTTAGAAAGTGGTCCCAAGGAAGCCAAATCCATGAGTCTAATCCATTACAGGTCAGTAAGCCTAACGGAGAAAAACTTCAGTCAGGCTGCACTCATGATCTCAAAAAACCATCCTCAAAATCCATGCTACTGACCTTTCAGGATGAGGGGTGAGTGGGAATGGGAAGCAGGTGACATGTCAAAGTATAAACCCATTCCCACTCCTGGAAAGACTTCCAGAAAGCAATTTGGAACTATGCCTCAAAGGCTATTAAATTGCATATCTTTAACCCAGTGATACCATTACTAGATCTATATCATAAAGAGATCAAAAAGAGGAAAGAATCCATATGTACAAAATTATAGCACCTCTTTTTGCAGTGGCAAGGAATAAGTGATTGTAATGGAATACTATTGGGCTATAAGAAATGAAGGAGACAGTTTCAAAGAAACCTTAGGAAGACTTCTATGAACTGGTGCAGAGTGAAGTGAGCAGAACCAGAAGAAAAAAAATCATAACAACAACCAACCACAATTTCAGAAGACAAGTGCTAAAGTAATGTGCCCACCTCTTGATAAAGAGGTAATGGATTCAAGAAGTAGACCAAGAAATATTTTTTGGACATGACCATTGCAGAATTTGTTTTGCTTGTCTGGTTATATCTGTAACAGTGTGTGTGTGTGTGTGTGTGTGTGTGTGTGTGTGTGTGTTTTCTTTCCCATGGAAGGGAGTGGTAGGAGGGACAGAAGGCAAATATTCATTTGAAAATAAAATAGGGGCAGCTAGGTGGTGCAGTAGATAGAGCACCAGCCCTGAAGTCAGGAGGACCTGTGTTCAAATACGGCCTCAGACCAAACACTTGACACTTACTAGCTGTGTGACTCTGGGCAAGTCACTTAACCCCAATTGCCTAAAAAGAAAAAAAAAGAAAAGAAAATAGTCAATTCTGCTTTAACTTTTGTTTTGAAAACTTGAGTTTGTTCCAACAGGATTGATATATTAGGGAACATGTTGAGCGTAACATAAATTTTGACTTTGCAGATACTTAATTTCTTCCATGAGCAAGAAGGAAGAAAACTACACCACTTCACAATAACTCACAAGCTGCACACTTCTTTATGTCACCAGACACCCACTTCCACAAGCAAACTTCAGATCTTTGTCAAGAAAAAGTGCCATATCTATTGTATATCTTCTGGTGCAGTAGAAGCCATAGGGGGAGGCATTCCCTCCCCCACTGATTATTATCCAGCCCCAGTAGTAAGCCAAGCAGCAACCACCAGTTATTGTAGTATTTATTTATTTCTTAACCATTTAACATGTATAAAACTGTGGTACCACTTTTAGTAGATGCCTATCTTTTTAAAAAAAATATGTATCACTGATAAAATTCCTGAATGTAGGGCCCCTAAACTCCATTGTCCCAATAATCAGTGTGTTTTTTTGTTGTGAGAAAAGCATGGTGCTTTTTGGGAACACATGTATTGGGTTAGAGCATAAAACAAACTGTATTTATTTCAGAAAAAAAAATCTACAGCACACATCCACTGAGATTCTGGGTTGGGACACCATCTGGTCAGACTAAGCTAACACCAAACTAGGAGACAGTTGCAACTGGATGTGTTTGGGCAACAATTGACATTTGTCAATGACTTGAATGAAGACATAGATAGCATCTTTAGCAAAGGTGCAGATAACACAAAGTTAGGAGGAACAGGTTAGACAACATATCTAGGATGCAAAAAGTTTGTCTATGACAGTGGACTAGATTTAATCAAGTAAAGCCCAACAAGAATAAATGTAAAGACACATGATTGATTTTTTTTTTAATCAACCACGTAGGTACAGAATGGAGAAAGCATGGCCAGACAGCAGTTCATGTGGAAAAGAAAAAAACTGGGCAACAACTCAATGTGAGTTAGCGTGCCATGACAGTAAAAAAAAAAAAGCTAACAAAATCTTTGTATCAATAGAGGCACAATGTCCAGAACAAGGGAGGGGATAGTCCTGTTGTGCCAGGCCCTTCAGACCACATCTGGAGTACTATGTTCAGTTCTTGGCGCCATAATTTAGGAAGGCATTTTAAAAATCTGAGGGACTTCCCATAAGCATGACCAGCATAATGAGAGGTCTGGAGAATCAATGATTGGTTAAAGAAATTGATGATGTTTAACTCAGAGAAGAAAAGACTGGTAGCCAGTGACATGATAACTATCTTTAGTTATTTAAAAAAGCTATTGTGTGGAAGAGGGATTGTCCTTGTTTTTCTAGGCCCCAAAGGGTAGAACTAGTAGCAATAATTGAAAGTTGGAGAGAGGATTTTGCTTCAATGTAAGGAAAAAACTTTCCTAAAATTATAGCTATCCAAAAATAGAATGGATCCTCTTGTAGGGTCCATTGTAGGGCACCCCATGAGTGGAAGCTAGAAGACTTGTTGGGGATATTGTGGTATGGGCATTCCTGTTCAGGTATAGGTTGAACTACATGGACTCTGAGATCCCTTTTCACTCTATTTAAGTCTGTGGTCCTATAATATATGTTAAGTCCTGTCATCCAACGGGTAGCTCTAGGTTATTTTTTAAATTTTCATTTTATATTGTGAACTTAACATTCATCGATAGATGATGAAAGAACTGAACTGAAGAACTGAAGAGAGGATTATAATAGACCCTGGGAGCTTCTGTTGCAGAGGGTTGTTGGTTTTTTTTTTTTTAACATATATTGAATTTAACAAGATAGGAACTAGATTAATTATTCGTTGATATAACTCAAGATTTAAAGGACAAAACAGATTTCTCATACCCCAAAACTGAGCTCCTACATCACATCATTTCCTCATGCCACTTTCTCTGACAATACCCATTTCTCCCCTTCTTTTCTCCTGCATGTCATCAGTTTAAATGGCCAATTATACTTTATCACACTGTGTGGAAATTTCAGGGTACAAACTATACATAGTTAAGGTGTGGAAACATACTTGAAATATTTTTAGTTGAACTAAAAATATTAGTAAGTAAATATTTCTGTAGCCTAAAACCCTTTCTAGACTTTCAGACTTTTCCCCTTAGGAAAGTGTGCAGATGGTCAAGAAAAAAATCTTAGGAAAATGGATTAAGGGTGGAAAGCAAATTGATGACAAAAAATATTTGTATTCTAGTTAAGATCTGGCCACCCCAGCCACTGAAACAATTCACTCTATGATCCACTTGAAGATGGTGCCCTTTTCTACTTGGAGGAAGCGCTTTGAGAAAATCTGAGAAACTTTGAGAAGAGTAGTTAGTTTTAGTAAATTAAGTCACTATTGTTCTAGAATGTGGGCCCCAAAACTGTATTTTAACATATTGTGACCTTTTGGGGGTTCTGTTGCTATGTAACCTCAAACTGTCTTGGAATAAAGAGGCATTTCAGTAACTATGCATCAAAATGCCCTCATTTTGGGGAATTACAGCAGTTTGGACATTTCTCTCTCCACACTAGAAATGCTTGGATTTAGAAAAAAAAATTATTTTAAAAAATTCTCATAAACTTGTGCCTAAAACGTGCAGAGTACAGCATTAGTACTTTTCTTCAACAAAAATACACAGCGTTATTCCTGAGTTTGACGAATTAAAACTGTCCCTTCCAAATGCAAATTGCTGTCATTTCCAGTATTCAGGTTCTTCTGGCAGCTAGTCCTGGGTCTGCTTTCCGCTCCCAGATCTTCAGCCTTTTGTTGCGGGGGAGGAGGAAGAAGTCTCAAGAAAGCAGCAAAGTTCTTGTTTGGGCCCTAGCTTTCCACTGTGCTGACTCGGAGGCTTCCTTCTTTAGCAATTTATCTAGAGTCCCACCATTCCTGCCCTAAGAATGCTAGTTTCTGTATCCTGTGAGAGTCCCATAGAGCCTCTCTTTCTCTAGCAGGGATTGTCTTTTGCCTCTTTCTGTATCCTTAGCATTTAGCACAGTGCCTGCACATAGTAAATACTTATTAAATGTTTATTGATCAACTGATTCTATATTTAAGTAAACTGGATATTCTTTACTGCCCCGTATCTTATTTTCCTATCTTAGGATAAAGTAGTAGACTGCCATTTATGACTATACTCCAGATGAGCCATTTTTGGAAGTTCTGGGTTTCCTCTTGACCCTCCAGAGCTCCAAGAATGATTTTTTTTTCTTGTCACATTATGACTGCCAACAGCACTGGCATAGATCTCCACAGCTCTTTTCCTCAACAGAGGTTCACCTTCTTTCTCAGGCCAAGACAATAATAGCACTTTAAGGATTAGACTCCACTTTCCTCAAAACACAGCCCCCCTCCACTGCAGTCAATTCAATTCAACCAACATTTATTAAGCACTTATCAAGTGGAGGAGGGTTGAAAATACAAAAACAAAAATGAAATAACCTAGCCCTTTAGGAGTTACTGGGATACTGGGCTAGGGAGGAGGCACTTGTTTCCAGATAAGATAGAACATAAAAACAGAAAAGTAAATTTCAGTCTTAATCTCTCTCCCAACTCTCTGGATCACCAAGGGCTTACTTACTGTACAACTCCACCTGGTGTCCCATCAGGATCTCAAATTCTTTATATCAGAAATCTTCTGTGGCTTCCTCTTTATCTCCGGTATAAAATACAACCTCCTCAGATCTAGCATTTAAAGTTATCCACAATCTAGATTCATTCCGTCTTTCCAGACTTATTTTATATTACTATCTTTCAGGCATTTTCTATTCCAACCTATCTAGTCTCTTAGCTAACCCGCCAAACCAGCATCTCCTCTCACGAGTCTCAACCATTTTGCCTTAGCATGAGCATATTAGTACTTGTCGGGAATGCATTCTGCCTCTTAGAATCCTTATCTTCCTTCTAGGCTCAGGTCCCCTCAGGACCTCCCATTGCTAACAATCTTTATCAGCGCAAATTATCTTGCATTTACTTACAAACCAGCAGCAGCAGCAGCCCTGCAGAATATAAACTCCTAGAAGGTAGGATCTATTTTGATTCTGTTTTTGCATGCCCAGCATCTAGCATAGTGCTCTGTACATAATGGCACTTGCTGTTTATTGAATTTTGGGGTAATTTGAAGAAAAAGTGAGCACTATTAATTCTGAGTCTTACTGGGGGCATGGCACCTGAGTCTCTAAGGAAGATAAAGATTCTGAGAGCCTAAGGTGAAGAAGCAAGACATTCCAGGCACTAAGGAGAAGCCCACGAAAATGTAAAGAAATGAGAGTTGGAATGCTGAAATTGGGAACAACTATTATTAAAATTAAGTACTACTTGGCAATCTTTCTTCTATAACAGGATATCTGTGCCATTTCAATATCCCTACTTTAGAATTCATAATACATGTCCTCATATTTAAGGGAATCCCTGCTAATCCCATTATATATTTCAAAATGCTTCCCATCTCCTCTCCTCTGCCCCTGATATAGGAGCAGTCCCACAAGTGACCATCATTTTTAGAGGACATGGCATTTTACAGCAAGTACAACCTGAGAATTAAAGCCTGGAGAGCAAATAGGAGCCAATAAAGTAAAAAAGGAGACCATGATTTGAGATCAAGATCTTAAGTTAGTCAGTAAGATGTGATGGAGGGAAAGAGGAAATGACCCATAGTCATATCTCTAGGAGCCTAGTAGAATCTAATGCATTTATTTGAAATGGAAAAGAAAATACAGCTATGGAAATATCAACTCTCTATACATTTCTAGTCCAAGACAATCATCCAGCAAAGCCTTCATTATAATCACATGAAATCTGAGGGTTCAATACAAATGTAGAAAAAAAAAAAGTACTGTATTTCCATTGGTGGGAGGGAGAAGTCAAGGTTTTGTTTTGAGTAAGTATTTACATTGCCTACACTGGGAAAAGGGGAAGGGTCTGCATTTAATTTCCAAATAAAAACCCCTTCTTCTTTATTGTGGTACTTGCTAAAGGAATCATATACTCCCTCCCACACCTCTTTTGACAGAAATCTAATTTCATTGATATAGTCAACACACATTTATTAAACACCTACTATGTTCTAGGCACTGTGCTAACTGCTTACAATCTAATACATAAAAAGATGCTGACCTAGTGGTGATGGGGAAGAGAGTGACAGGAGCTAGAGGGGAAATGTTGAGATGGATGCCCTAGGGATTCCCCTGAAATGGACAATGTGGGAGGAGCTCTGCAATGTCTGCCCTCTACTCTGTCCAATCAGAAGGGCTCAGGAGGGGGTGGTACTGAGGAGATTGGAGTTTCAGTATTGATTTCATTTTACAGAGCAATACACTTCTGGAGATCATGATGAAGTTCAGGACAGCATCTGAGTGGGAAATTCTGGTGAGAAATGTCCCTTCACCATGCAGATCATACATGTTCTGTAACTTGGAGAGTTATCTGGGGTGCTAAGAAGTTAAATGATCTGTTCATCATTAGAGTCAACATGGATTGGAGCCCAGGTAGTCTTCCTGACTATCAGGCCTAGTCTTTTTCTAACATGGCGCACTGCCCCTCATGGATCCCTTTATCGCCTAAAAATAAAACCCTATATAAAGGGGAAGGGAGCATTTATTAAGTACCTGTTATGTGCCTAGCCCTGAGGAAAACACTTTACAGATCTCATTTGACAAAATAAAATAAGTAGAATCCTTTTTTCTTCCCTTAGGGATCATATAGGGGTATTGTCATTTTTATTATCAGTATCATGCCATCTTTCCATTTGCTCCACTGCCTTCTTCTAACCCCTACCCGTTCTTCGCTATCTCTAAGCAAGCACCCTGTAGAAAATCGTACAGTATAACTGAGCATATAGAACCATCAGAAGAGTTGTCACCATTTAGCATCATTCATGCATAAAGTATACTATCCTAGTACTGTAGGAAGATACAAAATAATTCTCCCTGTAGAACTTACAGCTTACTTCAGAAGAAGAACATATTTACAGACTAAATAACAATAGTCAACAATGGCAAAATGCTACAGTATCCATCTCATTCCAAGTGTCAAAAGTTCCACTACTACTCATATCTTGGCCTCCTTCAGCTCATCCAAAGACAGTCAGTTGTCATGGAGATTCATATACTTGCTTTCTGGCCCAGATACTAGATGAAGACCACTAGCATATTTCATAAGCTGCCAAACCACCATCATGGAGA